CATTCCTCTACATCTTTTAAAAAATATATTTCTGTACCTTTTAAAATATATATGTATTTTTTATTGATTTCAGAGAGGAAGGGAGAGGGAGATAGAAACATCAATGATGAGAGAGAATCATTGCCTGGGCTGCCTCCTGCATGCCCCCTACTGGGGATGGAGCCCACAACCCAAGCATGTGCCCTGACCAGGAATGGAAGCCTGGCCTCCTGTTCCATAGGTCGGAGCTCAACCACTGAACCACGTGGCCGGGCAGTTTCTCTAACACTTGGCGTGGTCCAGTCTTCTCCATTTTAGCTCTTTTATAGGTGTGGCTCCTTGTGACTTCAGTTTGCATTTTCCTAATGACTAATGATGTCCAGCATCTTTTCACATGTTTATCTGCCATTAGTCTTCTTTGTTAAGTGTCATTTCTGATTTGGGCTTATTTCTTACTAGAGGCCCGGTGCATGAAATTCGTGCACGGGCACGGTTCCTAGGCCTGGCCTGCGATCAGGGCCATCTTCCCGAGCTGCCCGCAGTCAGCCCCGTCCCCCGCCCCCCGCCACCATGTCAATTTGCATAGTACCCTTTTATTATATAGGATTATATAGGATAATTGAGTTCTGGAAGTTCTTTATACATTCTGGATATAAGCCTTTTTATCAGATATATAATTTGCAAATATTTTCTCCCAGTCTGTGACCTGGTTTTCACCTTTTAACAGTGTCTAAGGGAGGTTTTTTCTTTTTTTTTTTCCTTTTGATAAAGTCCCAGTTTACCAGTTATTTTTCTTTTATGGATCATTCTTTTGGAGTCATAGCTAAGAAATCTTCGCCTCATTCAAGAACACACAGATTCCCTCTTTTAGAGGTTGTATACTTTATTTTGACATTTCTGCCTTCTGGATAAATCTGTGGCTTCTTGAAGGGGTTATCGACACTTGCGGTGCCCGTGGCTTGCCCACCTCACTCCTCTGAGTCTAGTTTCTCTGCCCCCTCCCAGCTGACCCCCAGGGCCCCCGGAGTCCAGGTGTCATCTTGCTGCCCTGCCTAAAGGACTTGGCCTGTGTGCTGCCGTCACTCCTCACACTCCAGCTTCCACCTGCCCTCTGAGGAGCCTTCCTGGGCTGGTTGGAGCCTCCTCCAGGCACTCGGGGTCCCTTGGGCTTGCTTCTGACATGGACCTGAGCATAGGACCTGCCCCAGTCTTCTGCCACTAGAAGCACCCCCACTCCTGACGCAGGCTCAGGCCCAGGGCCCAGCTCAGGGCCTGGCACAAGGAGGGGCCCCATAAAGGTTTGTTGATGGAAGGTTTGCTGAGTGAGAACACTCTCAATCTCTCTGCCCCTAACCACAGATGAGGCAACCTGGGGGTGTGAAACTTAACTTTCATGTTTACGATAAAATTCCAGCCCAGCCGGTGTGGCTCAGTGGTTGAGTGTCGACCTATAAACCAAGAGGTCACAGTTTGATTCCATCAGGGCACATGCCTGGGTTACAGGCTCTATCCCCAGTAGGGAGCATACAGAAGGCAGCTGGTCAACGATTCTCATCATTGATGTTTCTATCCTTCTCTCCCACTCCTTTCCTCTCTCTGAAATCAATAAAAACATATATATATATAAAAAAGATAAAATCCCAACTCGCCACCTGGTCTACGGGGCCCATGGTGCGGCCCTGAGGACGTCCACAACCTCACCTTGTGCTACTCGCCTCCTGCTGCTTGCTAGCCTTTCACTCCCTGAGCGCGCCATGCTGGCTTCTGCCTTGCCTGCCCGTGGAAGTGGCTGCCCCCCCTGCTGCTGTCTCTGCTCATTTCCATGTAAATCAGAGCACAGGTTGAAAGCCCCCTCCTTGGGGGGGGGGCCCTGCCCCCACCTGCCCAGTGTAAAGGGACTGCCTGGTCCCTAGCTGCCATCTCCAGTTGCGATGGTCTTAACGGCACATCCTCCCTGTCTAACAGTTTCTCACTTGCTTGTGGTTAACGGAACATCATCTCCAGGGGAGCAGGGGATTTGTCTGCTGTCTGCCCTTACTTTCCTCACACCTACAACAGTGTCTGGTGCTGACAGGGGCTCCATGTTGAATGTTGAATATAGTCAATCAGGGCAGAGACGCTGAGGGACCAGATGTCCCTGTGGCCGGGCCAGGCTTCTCCTCCTGCCTGGACTTACGCAGCCCGGCCACAGCCCACAGGATTCTGACCGGGCCCTTGTACCTGCAGAGCTCTCTGTCAGTGCCCATGTGGTCCTGCCCAGGGCTGAACCCACCCCTCCTCTCTCCCCTCCCGGGGAAGGTGCCACGGCTCAGGGTCCTCCAGGGTCCTCACCAGGTCTTGGGAGCCAGTGGGGCAGGAAGAGGAGCTGGCCCAGGGACTAGCCCAATGGCCCAGCTAGACAGGGGCCGAGGCCTAGCCCCAACGTCCCTCTTACAAATGGGATAGATGTCAAGAGGGGAGAGAGGTGTTTGAAGTTACGCAGAAAGTCGACAGTGTGAGGACTTCTCTTGCCGGCCGTGAAATTCCCTAAATTAAAAACCAGCAGACCAGCAGGTGCCTCTTGCCCAGGGACTTGGAGACTTCCTGGCCAGTCCCAGCCTGCCCTTAGCCCGGCCCAGGCAGGACTTGGCCAAACTCGCCAGGCCCAGGACAAGGAGGAGGGAGGGTGAGGGTGAGAGTGTGCCCTCCACCCACTGAATCACTCAGGGGAGGATGGCAGTGGTGGAGACCAGACAGTGGCATCCCTTGGCTTACGGGCGGGCAGACGGTGAGGAACAGAGCAGGGTTGTCCTGCCCCCATGACTCACCCCCACCTGCCCATCTGCCTCTCCAGGTTTCGGGACACACATGGAGGGCCCATCCCATTCCCAGGCCGCAGGCTGGGCCCCTGGAGAGGAGGAGTGTTGATCAGAGTGTCGATCAGAGATCAGCATACTTTCTTGCAGGGGACGAGCAGCCTCGCAGGGCGGTAGAGCAGAGTGGGAGCCAGCCGAGGCTCTGCGGCTCGGAGAATGGCTTTCTCTTCCGCCCCAGCCTGGCCTCGCTGCTGGCAGGGCTGGGTTTCGGCCTGTTTGCTGATGCGAGGACACATCCTGGTCTGGGTTGGCCATTGGCATTTGCAGATGAACAATAATGACCCTGATGATGGAAATGCTACTTGTTGTTTACTCTGGGCCAGCCACTGTGCTCAGCATTTCCCATTCATTGTTTCATTTAATTTCACAAGTAAATATAGTTATTATCCCCGTTTTAGAGGTGAAAGAAATGAGGTGACAGAGTAGGTGAAGTGGTTTGCTTGAGGTCACCCAGCTAGGGAGTGGTCAGGGTGGGACTCAAACCTGAGTCTTCTGAGAAAGCAGAGTCCACACTCTTCGATGAAGGGCGTCCTCCTGACAGGTTCCCTGCGGAAGGAGGGGCCTTGGCCTTGCTTTCTCCTTCCTGGCCAAATCCTACTCTTTCTTCGCCTCCTGATCCTAGACTCTCAGGCCCCCTGTGCACACCTGTCCTGTAACTGCTGTCCCACCTGTGCTTCCAGGGCAGATAAAGCACTTATGTTAGGTGCTTTATTTATATTAACACTAGAGGCCTGGTGCACGAATTCGTGCATGGCTGGGGTCTGGCTGGCCCGCCCGATGGAAGTCCATCAGGCTGGGCCAGTTGCGGGGGAGGGGTGCCAATTGGGGCCCAGATCAGGCTGGTTGGCTGCAGCAGTGCGCATCATAGCCACTGGTCGTTCTGGTTGTTCCACTGTTCGGGTCACTGGGCTTTTATATATATAAACAGGAATGCATGCAAGGGGCCCTGGGGCCCACAGGTGGGCCAGCAGCTTGGACACAGGGATATAGGGACAGGCTGGGCTTCTCCCTGGCAGGACAGAGGAAAGTGAGACCCCGAGAGTGGCCTTAGGTCTGGCAGCCCCCCTGGATCAGGGCCTCTCTCTGCTCGACACACTGTAGCAGGACTGGCTCATGGAGGGACTGGACATCAAGGGGCTGGACATGCAGAGGTTGCGTGTTTGGCCTGAGAGGTTCTAGGCCCAAGTCACATGCTTGGGAGGGGAGGGGCCAGTTTGGGCCTGTTTGGGGAGGGGAGGCTGGAGGAGACCCCGTCTCACAGATGCCCAGTGCTGCTTGCTCACTGTCCAGCCTGGAGGCTGCAGGCGGCTCTCCCATGCTGCCCCCAGTGGCACTTTTCCACAGCTGTTAGGTTTCATACATGAAAACAGCCATACACAGGTCAACATCTCCGCCTCCCCACTTCCTAGCTGTGTGAAGTTAGTGAGTCATCTAACTTGCAGCCCATTTTTCAATGGTATTGTGGAGATAGTGAGGGTGAGATGAGATTCAAGGCATACCTGGCTGCTCTCTTCAACCCAGGGGCCTTTAGGGGCTGGTGTGAATCCCTGCTGGGAAGAAGGAGGTTGTCTGTACCCTCCCCAACCATGGGCAGCATTAACGGGGCCCTGGAAGGGGGAGGTGGCTGAGCCCCAGCCCCAGCCCAGACGGGCCCTCTCACCCCTAAAGCAGCTCCAGCTCCAGACTTACCCAGCAAGAGAAGAGCCAAGAATCCAAGCACCAGGCTTGGGGACAGAACCTGACTGAGGTGGGCTCTCATCTGTGCCCACTCCTAAAGGTCTAGCGGTCTGGAGCCGGCAAATGCTAGAGCCAGAGGCAGCTGGAGGCCGAGCCCTCCTTCAGCCTCCAAGGAAGAGGCTGTTCCTCAGAGCCTGTTCTCAAGGCTCTGCTTCCAGGCCTGGCTCCACCATGAGTGAGGGAGCTGGGGTACTTGTCACCCTCCTGGAACCTGTGTCCGACGTGGGCAAGGACCCGTGGGAGTGGGCCCTCTGTGGTGCCCTGTGCTGACGGGGCAGGTGGTAAAAAAGGAACCTGTGACACTTACGCCCACCCAGGGATCAAGTGAGGATGAGTGAGTGTTTCTTGAAACCAAAGGGGCTGTGTCACTCCCACTCTCTCCATCCCCAATCGGGGACCAGAAACAAAACAAGCCAGGAGCAAGCAGAAGACTATTATATATCATGCTTTTAATACAAACTTAAAAAAATCTGGAACAATATAAACTGTACAGATTTGATCAATCTTTTTGTTTTGTTTTTTAAACTAAATCTCTAAACACACCAATGTCCCATTCCAAAATATTGCACAACATTCTGAATACAAAACGCTGATTGTATTCCTCCTTCACTAAAGAAAACAAGTTCGTTGCCCTGCTCCCCAAGCCCCTCTCCACATTGCCTCAATGCCCCCTTCCCATCCCTAAGGGTCAAACTAGAGAATCTAGAGCTCACTGCATTGAGAAAAAGACATCATTCTGGACTAAAAGCTTACACTCTTTACAAGATGATCCACCTTCTGATTTGTTCCTGGAAAGAGGGGTAGATAGAGGATGGGGAAAGGGGAGAAAAAGGTTTTATTCTCCTCTTTTTTATTTTAAAGTTTGTTTTTCCTGAAAAAATATCTTTGTTTCTCTCCTCTTTTTAAGAAAAAATCTTGAAAAGAAAAAAATTACATTTTACGTTAGAAATATACATATATTATATATACCTCTTACATTTTACAAATGTAGCAAATTATTCAATACAAACGGACACCAAAAAATGTAAAAAATAAAAAAAAAAGTTTTCCTACCAAACCAGGTAAATTAGTGCAGATTTCTGTTTCTGTTTTCTTAAAATAAAAAAAATTTGAAGCAAAAATGCCTAGATTTGAGACAAGACAGACTGAACTGGGCCCAAGAGCCCAGCACTGGAGTCATGCTCCTGAACACACATTTTTCTTCGTATTTCAAGACACTAAGGGGTTGGTCTCGCCCTCTCCCTACATGTGGCGAGAAGACAAGCTGACCAGGTATGGGGGGTACCTGTGTGCGTGAGTTTGGGAGGAGGGAGCGGGGAGGGGGCATAAGGCAGCATCCAACCTTTCCCAGGGAGCAGCAACCTGCCTGGGCCTGTCACCTGTGTGGGAGCCAAGGGCTGGGGAGAGAGGGTGGCCCAGATTGGGCTGGCCCCTGAGGAGTCTAAGGGGACAGATGGTGCTGGGCTGAGGAGGCAGGGCACTGCCCTGCTGGGGGAGGTAGAGCTGGTGCCCAGTGCAGGGAAGGCTGGCAGTGTCTATCTGGGCTGGACCCACTGCCAGAGCAGTTGCCCACTTGGGTCGCTGGGGAGGATGGGGTGGGGTGCCGAGGGCTTTGGAACTTTCCAGTGATGGGGGCCCTGATGCCATGTGCCCCACTTGCCGAAGCATCATGGCATGGAAGCTGGCCCACTACGGTTGGGTTGGAGAAACAGCTCTTCTGGCAGAGGTGGGGAGCAAATGCTCTTCTATATCCAAATGCCCCAGCTTCAGTGGCTAAGCCTGGCCTGCCCAGACCACTCCTCTGGCATCAAGGCCGGTGGGGTTAGGTCGGGCAGAGAGAGGGGATGGGCAAGAGGTACCAAAATGTTCCCAAGCAGGCAGGGGCAGAAGTGCACGACAACATCTACAGCCAAAGGACCCAAAAGTCTCAATTCAAGGCTCAGGACTGCCCACTACAGGCACTGATTCAGAATTCCCACCCCAGGGTGCTTAGGTGAGCAGCTCCCACCCTGGGCTAGTCACACAACAGGAGGGTCCAGGGACTTCTCTTAGGCATCAGAGGCTGGGTATTCTCCTCAGCCCCTCACAGCTAGCCCCCCCCCCCCTTTTTTTGGTCAAATACAAAAGTGCAGATCCCTCTGCAGCCGGAAACCAGTTCCTCCTGCAGTGCTTTCCCCTGGGAGTGTCTCAGGCTCAGCCAGTCTCACCCACCATGTGACCCACCCTACAAAAGGACTGACAACTGCCCTGGTCTATTCCCCCACCTCAAACATAAATAAGCATTTGCTACAACCCAGGATCACATGGGGGGCGGAGGGGGGGAGTTTCACATGGCTTAGAATTCTTTAAAGTAGGGCAGCAAACCACCGCACACTGGCCCCACCTCCCTACTCACACCTCACAGGCCCAGGGAAGAAAAGGCTGCCTGAGAGGCCACACAGGTCAACGGCTGTGTCTCCAGGGCCACGGTGTAGTCTGGGACGCCAGGTGGGAATGGTGGTGTGGGGGCCACAGGACAGAGATGAAAGGCATTCCAATAGAGGGCTAACCTCCCTGGAGTTAGGCGTCAGCTCTGGGGGGAGGGTGTCACGCGGCCAGCCAGCAGCTCCCTGTGACCCATGCCTGAGGAGTGGGGGCTTGGGTCAGACCTATTTGGGTGGCAGGACACAAGGCCTGCTGAGGTCGGATGGCTCTGAGTGAGAGGTTAGCTGGGTGATGGGTACAGTGACAGGGGACAGCCTCTCCCTGTTCCGAGGGCCAGGCCCAGCTGTGGCTCTTGTGAGCTTGAACACACCAATCCTAAACCAGGTGTGTGAAGGAGGGAGGGAGGGAGCAGAAATTCACAACAGGACCATTCTTAGCACAGGAAGCCACTAATTAAAGATGTTATATAGAAAACTACATGTAAGGAAAAAAACAACAACAGAAAAAACAAACCCCAAACCAACCAAATAAATCATAGGCAGGCAGGAAAACAGCAAGGAGGTTGAGTTAAACACGATTCAGGTGCCTCGGCTGCCTCTTTTCTCTAGAAGTGAGAGCGAGAAGATTGGGAATATTTTCGTATATTTCTTTTCCTCTTTTTTTGGCCTTTCCTTTCCTTCTTCTCTTCTGTGGTCTTGGGTGCTCCTGGCCCCGCAGGCAGGGGGGTGGTCAGTTGGCCAGCACGACGGGCTGGAAGGGCTGGCTGGGATACTGCATGGTGTTCAGGTTGTAGCTGAGGCCTTCCACGAAGGGCGACTTCTCCAGGAAGAGGCTGTTGGCACCGCCTCCGAACACCTGGGTCATGTCGAAGCTGCTGCTGTTGCAGGTGCCGGCCCCACTGCCCTGGCCATCGGCCCCATCAAAGAAGAGGCTGGGCGAGCCGCCATTGTACACGAACTCCTTGGCATTGGGCGAGAGCTGGGACTGCGGGGCCGGGTTGGGGGCGATGAAGTTCAGTGAGTGCATAGACAGGGAGAGGCTCTTGTGCTTCAGCAGGTTGTTGGTGGGAGAGCGGGCCAGGCGAGGCTGCTGCGGTGGGGGCTGCTGGCCACCTGCCCCACCGCTGGCCACGTTCCCACCACTGGCTGCCCCTCCGCCCTTCTTCATCTTGGTGGAACCAAACTTGGTGGCAGCGAAGGAGGCAGTAGTAAAAGTGATGGGTTGGGCGGAGCGTGGAATGAAGGTGGGGCTGGGAGACTGACCAAAGGATGGCGATGGGGAGCTGGACAGGGAGCTGTCCTGACTGCCAATGGGCACAAATACCTGGGCATCAGGGTTGAAGCTGCTCTTGATCTCCTTGTCCAGCTCTGGGGCAACACAGCCCTCGCTGTCATCCAGGTAGAGCACTTTCACAGCCCCCTTCTCACCAATCTGGTAGGACACCTCGAAAGGGTCGATCCAGACGCTCAGCTCCTCGGGCACATTGGCCCGCACATCCTCCACCGCCAGGCCGCTCCGCTTGGCGGCCAGCTCCACCACAGGGTCCACTATCTCCCCAATGTGGACGCAGCGAAAGCCAGAACCCTTCAGTGGCTTGTCAGGGTACCAGTGGCCTTCATATTTCTTTTTTAAGAGCCGCTCTAGCTCCTCCCCAAACAGGTCTGCCCGGCGCCGGGGCAGCTTGTTGTACAAGTAGGAGATGATGAAGTTCAGGGCCACTTTGATCTCCAGCTGCATGGCGCTTTCCTAAGCAAACACTCAGTGCAGGGCACGTGCACAAGCCACGGACAGTGGCAGAAGACGGAAGGTGGGCAGCCTTGGGTTCCAGAAGGCCCTGGGAAACAAGAAGGGGCATCATGAGTAAACACGCAAAGAGCCGGGGTCCCATGGCCAAGGACAGACAGAAAAACACCAACTGCAGGTCACAGGCCTGAGGTCCCATTTTTGCCCCACCAGTGACTAGTTTTATTTGTGTGACTGGGCAAGTCACTTGTTCTGAGCCTTAGTTTCATCAGCAACATGAGGTTATCATGAAGATTAGGTTAGTTCAAGGATGTAAACTGCCTCACACGGTACCTGGTTTTTAGTAGGTACTTGATAAAATTAGCTTTTTTTTCTTTTAAGTAATTCTAAAGAAAATAGGGTTGCTGCAGTTCCCAGTATTTTGAGAATTCAGACCACTGGATGACTGGCACCAAAAAAAATATCGAGCCCTTAATTTAGCTGGAGAAGGGAAGGCTCCTGCTAACGTTCTCAGCAATATCTTGGTGAAACTGTGCCCCCAAGTTGTCACAGGCCAAGGTATAAGTTCATAATCTTTAGTTTTCCTCCTTAAGCGGAAGGGATGCGGGTCATTGAACAAGAAATAGCACTGCCACCGTTTCGCTGGGGGCTTGGACTCGAGTCACATCCCATTTGTCATGCTGTGCGCCCTGGGTGTGTGTGTGCTCTGGCTCACTCTGGGTTTGCAGAACTGATTTCAGAATTGCACAGTGTACCCAAGGCAAGCCCTGCCATCCAGAGAGCCTCCAAGAATAGAGATGAGAGCATGAGCCCCAGGAAAAAGTCAAGACCTGTCAGAACCAGAGGCCTGGGCCAACAACAGAACTGCTGACACTGCTGATGGCAGCTGCCCTGGGGCAGCAGAGGAAAGGAGAGGGAAGGAGGGTCCTGCTGGCCAACAGATCTTTACCAGCAGCACTAACGTGGCCTGAGGGAATCTCTGTAGTTTCCGGCTAGAGCAAGCATGTCAAACTCAAGGCCGGCGGGCCGCATGTTTGACATGCTTGGGCTAGAGAGGGTAAGTGATGAGGAGGGCAGAGAGGAGGAATTTTCCATTACCCTGCGGCTTCCAGCTGGGGATCCATCATCACTCAGTCTCCCAGGGACAGTGTGACCACCTGTCCTTGGCACGGGATCAGATTTATCAAGTGTTTGGAGATCCCTGGAGCGGAGGCAGCCCAAGATGAACACTCAGATTGTTATTTTGGGAGTCCCTCATAGCCAGATTGCACAGAGGTCAAACAGGCTCAGTCCCCAGTTCTGGGCCAGCCTCATGTCTCAGGAAGATGATCTGTGAGGTCCTAAGACCCAGTGAGCTTCATCTCCTCACTTTCTCCAGACAACAGCTCCAGGCTCATGCTGTGGGTGAACTGAACTGAAAAGGCCACCCCCTTCCAGGGCCAACCAGGCCAGAACATGTTCCCAGCCAGACCTCTGGTGAGACTGTGCTGCTGAGCTCAGCACAGAAACAAGACTGATCCATGATCCGTCAAGGGCATCTTCTGTCCTGTGACCAATCTGGAGCTGGAATTTGATAAAAATCCCTTCTAGGTCCAGCACAGAGTATCCAGAGACTAATTCTAGGCGTGAGGATCTCGAGTTTTCTGAACACCTGCCTCAACTACATCCCTTCTCATTTTCAGCCCTTTGCCTTAACTCACTTCCCTATAATTTTCAGACCTGGGCCATGGCTCCCAGGGGCATTTTTAGGATTGAATCCTCAAGCAAAGCTCTCTGAGGCAAGTCCCAGAGAAGATGCACTGGCTCAATCTGGAGCATCATACACACTGGCCAGGTCTAGGCCTGCCCTCATTTCAGGTCTGAGGAGGCAGAGGGTCACGTGGGGCGTCATCAGAGGTGCCATGAGCATGCCTCTCCCAAGCCCTCCACAGGGATGCTCAGGCTCCAGGGGACCCTTATCTCCTCTCAATCCCAGCCTCCAACAAAGACTTAATCTCCAAGTTGCTCCAAATGTCTATGCATGGTCACTACAGATCAATTCCAGGGTCCTTTTAGTTTTCAGAGAAATAAGAAGAATGGTAGAAGATTAAGAGCCTTTCTGTTTGTGAGGCCTGAGTTCATCACCAGATACAAAGTTAGCCACCAGGAACTTGGGTCTCCACTCAAGAACAGCGCGGTATGGAGTCCCTCACTAGAGGTGTCCAAACACAGAGGAGACTGAAAAATTGTGAAGAAAGTTGGTCCTGGTTCCCAAGAATGAGCCTGAAGTTAAAGACAGTGTTTTCAGAAAAGTAAAAGAGACCGAATCCAGCATCTGACACTTCTCAAGGCACACACAGCCTCGGGTATGCCTCCTACACCTTTCTAGCCCTCTCTAACTTGGGTGCATATTTGCCTTTCAAGTTAACCTCCCCTAAACAGTTCAGCCTCAAAGTGGGAGCATTTCAAATGCAGGCCAAAGTCACTGGGATAGAAGCCTCCCACCTCAATATACAATAGAACCACTGTCATCAGCCCTGCCCAGCTAACCGGTTTCTGCAGCATCAGCAACTAAAGCTGCACACCAATTTATACCTCAGTGACGCTGCCGCACAAATAAGGAAGTATATATAATGCCACCTTTGCCTCTTTAATTGGAGAACAGGCTAAGCCAGATGGCTGTGGGGTGGAACCTTACAAAAATGCCAGACAACCAGAATGATATTTTCTGCTCTATCAGCTCAGGCTCTAATTTTGACTTCAAGAAGCTTATGGAACACAGGATTAAAGCACTGGTGCTGTCTTGTCTTTAAAGATAGAAATAACCACTCTGATGAGTTTGTCCATTTTTTTTTTTTTTAGGCAATGGGCAAATTCTAGAGCTTGTATATAAAATATTCATAGAATGTGTAAGATTAGAAAGCTTAGAAATAACTACCCTTCAATAAAAGGAACAAGTAGATTTGGGTTAAGCAGCAGGAAAGGACGCTAAGAACTTTTCCAACCTTGACTCAGGGGCAAAAGGTCAGAAAGGTGGCAAATGGGGGTGGGGTGGGGGAGGGCTGTGTTTAACAATAGCAAATCTACATTTTGTCAATATACCAAAAAGTTGCAAATGTGAGAATAAATTCTTTTATCTTATTTAGAATCTTACCCCCTTCACTAGTTTACTTTCAGCAACAAAGTTAATTCTGCGCTGAATTGTGTTTTAAAGAAAAGTGTGTAAAAGGACAAAAATGGGGGGAAAAGGATGGCTGCAGACAATGATGTGGTGATCGAGATTCCAGAGAAAACATCTAGCAAAAATACAAAGGAAGAATTTTAAGAAGATAAAGTTATGTTTTAAACAAGAAAAGGAGAGATGATGGCAGGGGAACCCACCAGGCTCCCCAAACCATGAGAATCTATAAAAATATTGAGGCACCTGAAGCTTTAACATCCAAATCGTCTTTACAACCAAGCACAACTGGATTCAAGTGAGTGTGGACAGAGGAGTGAGGGGGGAGGGATCCTCAATTTTGACAAGGCCAGTAGGTGTCATAAACTGGGTGCCTGGGAGTCAGAGCTGAGATCCAGGGGGACAAGGGACAAACCCATCCCACCGGTCCTGGAGCCCCGCGTTGGGCGGGTGTGGTTGAAAGGTTCCAGGACTTGTGGCAACTGAGTGCCCCCCCCCCCCCGCCCCCAGAGTCTCACACCATCACCCCAAACACAGGCCGGCACAGCCCCAGTCTGACTGCCAGGTTCCTTCGGCCTAGGAGGGCCTTTTCTAGGGCTCTCTCGGTTCCTCCGAAGCCGGGAAGACTTGACTGAACCCCAATGTAAGTGGAGTTGCGCTCTGCATTCTGGGAATTGTAGTCCCCACAAACCTCACGCTCTGGTTTGAAGCAAGTGACCTACTTCCTCTGCACACTACACCTCCCTGCGCACTTTGCGAAGGTTCGGCCGGCAATCCACGCATGCCCAGTAAAGGGAGCTGGCCGACGGTCCGAGAACCATGGAAAAGTTTCCGATGCACATACGCGCTGTGGCGGATGGCCCCATCCCCCGCCCTAATACATT